CAACGAAACTTTGGAATATTACTAATTTTGTGATGCTCCTTCAAGCTGTGATGAAATTTTTGTCTAGACTTGTTTAGTTCAAAATTTAGTCTATTACGCAAATGGTCAATTGAAACAATGTGAAATTTGAAAAGCAAGTTTTGAAAATAAACTAACCATGGGCCATTCCCCCCCCCCCCCCCCGCTATGGACGAGAATTTCTGACTCGGGGGGGTTGAAAAAGCCATTTCTGAGGGGTTGTGTGCATCGGCATCCTTTGATCTTTGCGTTTTTTCTGAGGGGTAAGGCAAAAATGTCCGGGAACGGCAAACGGCAGGTTTGAATTTTCTTGGCAAAATTTTCGTTGAACGTTTTCGTTTCATATTTTTTTTCTTGTGTCGAAAGAATAATTATGTATTTCAGTTTTAAAACAGCAAGCTAATTTACTCTTTATTGCCTGATATCGTAAAATTTTTCTTTGCCTGCCGTTTGACGTATAACGCGAAGCTTAAACTCTCTATTAAATGGAATGGCCCCATTTACAAAGCAAATTGACCATCATTCGTCCAAAAAATTATGAAAAGTCGCTGTTATGTGGACTTATCTCGCAGACTTCGGCTGAAATTAAAGTTATCTTGCTTACTTGAATTAGAAAAAAAACGCGGAAAACACAAAAAAGCGACTAAAACGGCCGTCAATGTCTTTAAAGCGCCAGTGTTTACTGTAGAAGCAAAACAAATCAACAAAGACGATCTATTTGGCTCAAAAGAAACTCTTGCCAACGTCCTTCGCAAGTTTTATGCAGAAGCAAGAAAGAGAGAAAAATAACGAAAGATAAAACGAAGCTTTATAAGAGAATGATAAAACAATTATTGAACTCGGTTCTCCCAAACTATCGTGATTTGTCGGTGGCTCGCAGATCAATTCTTTGCCTTCGGCATCGTCAAATAATTAATCTGCTCGGCGTGCTCGTGTTCGCCACCGACAAATCACGATATTTGTTCAACCTCCCAACTTTATTACATGATTTTTGTAACCAGTTACAGTTACATCATGGGAAAAGTAACTAGTTACCAATGTATACAAGTTACGATGGAATAAAAGTAACTAATTACAGCTACAAAGTTACTTTAAAAATTTTGTAACTATAGTTACTAATAACTCATGGCCAGAAATAGGGGACATGCACGCGATTGCGTAACAGCTAAGAAGCGCTTCTTACAGAGGTTTGGACAAAATGTTTACAAATTTTGTCCATACCCTTGTATAAAGATGTGTTTCTTAACATTTCCAATCTTAAATTTGTTGTTTTGGAGCTAAATGTGCACAAATTTCAGTCACGTTTTGTCCATGCCTCTGTAAGAAGTGCTTCTTAGCGTTTTCCACTTATGATTTGTTGTTTTGGGGCGTGATATATTCTGAATGCATATGAATATATTCTTGCGTGATATATTCTGAATGCATAATGAGCTAACTTGTGTGGGCCCACACATCGGAATTTTAATTAAATTATCTATTGTTTGAAACAAAAAATGTAAATAAAACATACATGTGCATGAGCAGAACGGACTTGACAGCCTCTTTAATTTTGTGACCAAAAATTGCAAATATAAATGAAAATCCATGTATTTTCATTTATATGTACATTTCCTATGTATTTGGAATGTCAAAAGGACGTAACAGTCCTTTTGACATTCCAAATACATAGGAACTTGTAATAGTAAATTACACTATTGTAACTCTGCAAAATAGTGCATTTTCTGACATGTGAAGCATGAACCTGGTAAATCGAATCCTTGCAAAAGAAAAGAGCAAAAAGTTATGCTATACAGGGTGTATAAAAAAACTGAACAGATTTGAAATTGCTCTCAATTTTGAAAAAAACCCAGCTCGTTGTGTCAAGTTTTTATTACTATAGATGCCTTGTGTACCCATAATGTAGAATAATGAAAAAAAATGCTGGAACTCAAATTTTGTAAACCAGGGGGGTGTTTATTTTCCACCAAATTAAGAATGGCTTGCGCACGACATTTAAAAGCTTTACTCGTATTTTGAGTTAATGGATGGAAAATGTGTTGGGTTTTTATTTACTGTACAAAATTTCAGACAATTTGCTTTAGTTTAAGTTCCTTTAACTATTCATTTTTTCCTAAAAAAATCAGTCTTTTGCATGCTTAATTAATGTCTTTACCTAATTTGCATATTGCTGCAATGTATGCAAATTAGGCAAATGCCTAATTAAGCATGCAAAAGGCTACTTTTTTAGAAAAAAATGCAAGTTTGCGTGAACGTTAAAGGACTTAAACTGAAGCAAATTGTCTGAATTTCGTGCACCAATTAAACACCCAACACAGTTTTCACCCATTAACTCAAAATACGATTAAAGCTTTTTAAGAAATCGAAATTTGGTTTCTGAGTGCCATGCCGAATGACTATTTCAACAATGACTGTTTTATGCCGAATGACTATTTCAAAAATGACTGTTTCACGCCGAATGAAATTTCAATAATGACTGTTTCACGCCGAATGAAATTAGAATATCATAATATCGAATATCATAATAGCATAACCGAACTTCATAAATGCAATTTCCAATGGCATAATTGAATATATGAATTTTGGCGGATATCACACCTCATAATCTTCTAGTAACAGATATCAATTTAACGAAGATAGTTAGACGGCTTCTTACGGTATACTGATTTAAAAACGTGAGGCTTGTTTGAAAAATAAAGGTTAAAATACCCTTTTTCGAGACCCCACTGTCCTGCATGGGTTCCTTCCGGCGCCCCTGCATGTGTATACTGCCATCCCATTGTCATTAATATGGCTAAATATTTAATGGCGCATGGCTATCTGATAATTATTAATGGTTTTAAATTATTATCATGCAACTACATGGTCAGTGATTCAGATATCTTCACAATCCCAAGTAATGCGTAATACTGTTCTTTACTATGAAGATAGATGTTTTTGTTTTTCAAATGATCTTGTGTTTACCTTGTTTAGGACGTGGAGTTAAACCAACAGGATTTCATACAAAGAAAGGTAGAAGAACTATACTAAAAATCAATTTTATTACTCTAAGATAAAATGTTAGTATTTCTGTAAAGAACCCATGTATAAGATACCGTAAAATCTGACGTTTTTGATCGAAAGCTTTTTTGCACGAACCAGAAGAGAGTATGACAAATACAATGGCAACGTCAATGAAGACCTTGCAAAATAGCATTTTTACCCTGAAAATTGATAAATTGCATTCCATCGAACCATCCAGTATATGACGTATATTTTTTATTATTAATACTGCGACATATACATTTTTCAATGTCTCGCAATGATGATTACACTAACGTTCGAAGTTATTTGAGATGCTACTTATTGCGTACTAAAAATTCATAACAATCCCTTGTTAGGGGGAATCCATTTAGTACGTACGCAAAAATTTCCAGAATATTTAACACCCCCTCTCCCCTTTGTACGCAATTGTACGATTTTTTGGCTCCCCCCTATGCGTACGCATGTGCACAAGAATATTCTATAAGCGACCCCCCCCCTGCCCATCATGCTCAATATTTTTCACCTCAATTTTAGTAATAGTCATAGCCACTGTCTGATTTTATTTGTGTCTAGTTAACTTTCATAACAAATTTTAACAATAACATTGTGTAAATGTAATGATAAAAACAATCGAAAGTGTAAAATGTAAGTAAATAGCTCATTTTTCCACAAATGGCGAGTTCAGAAATTCAGCGAGGTTTTCAATTACTGGCATGATGCAGTTCGACTCGCTTTCAACGTCGCTACAAATTTCCATTGCATGAGAAGCGCTGCCATTGTCTTCTTCCTTCATAACATCTTCTTCCACGTCGTCCTGGCCAAGTGTATCGCTATCTTTAGCCTGACAGGCTGCACTTTCCTTCACCGAGTGGCTCTTTTCATGGCGGTTTTTCGCAGCTTCGCTGGGCCAATAGCTACCACATTTTTCGCAAACGCACTTCTTAAGTTTTTCCTGCATTGAAGGGCAGTAGAGATCGAGTGGACATTGTTTAAACTCTTTCGCTTTGGCGG